GTTTTAATCCCCTCCTGCCTGGCCAAGAGAACCCACGGGCTTGGCGGGGTGCTGTACCTGCTGCTCGTCCTGCGCTGCGACCACGTAGCTCAGCAAGCTCTGCATCTCCTCCGCGGAGAAGCTCCTGCAGAAGAAGTCCTTCACCAGGCTGAAGAGGGATGTCTGCACCGTCTTGACGTTGTCGGACGCCGTGGGCTTCTCCTTGGGGGTGCTGGGGGCGAGACACACTGGCGCTGGGCATGGGCACAGCCACCCACCCCTTCCTCAGGTCCCTCCTTCCAGGCTCTTGGGACTGTCACCTGGGGCCAGCAGGATCCCAAATCCCAAAACTATGATTTTTGAAGTGGATGGGTTGCGTGGTGTGTTAGGTGCTGAGCAGGAACTAGGGACGGGCTTGGGGCTACGGTGGGTTCAAGATCCTACACCTGCCTCTGCTGCCCCGTGGAGGCTGGAGAACCCAAAGCGCCCAACCCCTCGCTCACCCGTAGTACGTCCGGATGGAGTCCAGCACGTACTGCACGCCGTATTTCTTGCGGATGCGCTGCTTGTGGTCCTTGACGATGTTGGCCAGGTACTGGATGTGACCTGTGGAGCAGAGCCCATGCTACGGGTCGGGCGGGTGGCCCGGGGGAGCCGGCGGGTACTTGGAGAAGCTCCGGCCTCTCACCTAAGCGCACGGCGAAGTCGCTGTTGCTCCAGATGCGGAAATCGAAGAGGAGGTGCTGGTAGAGCAGGTGGAGCAGGAGGCCGCTGCCCTCGGAGGCCACCTGCTCCATGAGCATCTGCGAGGCCATCAGCAGGCTCATGTCCAGCCGCGGGCTGGGGACCTGCGCGTGGAGAGGGAAGAGGCGCCAGCCCGGCCGTGGTGCCGCGGGGCATCGCGCCGCCCGGCCCCACGCACCTTCTGCAGCAGCGCCCCGATGATGGCCGGCCCGTGGCACTGCACCAGGCTCTCCTGGTTCACCGGGTGGTTCTGGATGAAGTTCTTCACCAGCAGCAGGAAGGCGGCCACGCTGTTCCTCTCCAGACGGCTCTCTGCAAGGCACAGCAGGAGGG